ACTTTTTGTGTCACTCTTTCTCCTCATTCGTATTCTGCTTTTTCTTCCACCTTCCCTTCTCATTGTTCTGCCTTTATCTTTTCCTTTCCTGTTTCCGTCCATACTTCTTTTAATATCCTGTCCCGCTGGACGTATTGCCTCTTCTTTCTCAATGATGGTATTTAATAACGCCTACTTTGTTGCAGGGTAGTCGAGCGAATCGGGGTATAAAAGGACCAGGCGCTTTCTACTACGAAGTCACAATCCTGGAGGATGGAGATGTGCGTCTTGGATGGGCCACCAACTCTGCATCTCTGATGCTCGGTACGGATGCCGAGGGCTACGGATACGGAGTTGATCCACTGGGTAGGCAAAACAACGCCCTTCAAGTTCAAAGCCTACTTGCACTACTTGTGGTGTGCTATTTACGCAAAAAGCCATCTTTGGGAGGCTGCTTAGTGAACCCCGGAAGATTTCAGTTTTAAGGAATCATTTGTAGGGTGATTTATGCATACCCAAACATTTTCGATGATCATTTTAAGTCAATTATTTTTTCTGAACTAGCTGTTTAGCAGTTTCCTTTGAAAATTTTTCATCAGGTTAAAGCGCATTTTATGAAAAAACAAATAATTTGATTTGAAAAATAGGTAAGGTAAAAGTTTTTGCGGTTTGTTTTTAAATTTACGTGTAGCACACTATCCACAGCTTAATTTGATTGGTATATGAAACGAACACTTTGTTGCCGATGAGTTTCCACGTTTCAAGCGTCAATTTACTCTTTTGCAAACACGTTAAGAAAGTCATAAACGAAGTTCAAGGAAGGCACATTCTAAGTCGCCTTGTAAATTTAATATGCAGGAAAGGGGAGTGTAAAGAGATATAGGTGTTGCACGACTTTTTAAACGCAGAGGAACTAAGTCAGAACAGAAGCGAGACTAAAAAGACAACACCCGTTTTATCTCAATGTCTTTTTAACTTTCTCAGAAATTGTTGCGGAAACCTAGAGTGTATTTTAGGGAACAAATATTCTTGGGTTCAGCCCGAATGTCTATATGAATACTTGAGCTGGAACCAATCAGCTTCAGCGGAATAGTCGCATAATATTCACAGCCTGCCCAGGAGAAACAAGTCATATATAAATACTAAACACGGCAAAGGCAACGAGGTTTGCAGGATTTAATGAAGTAGCGGAATCTCGTGACTTCATATTCAACTGCATACAGTCATTGCCTATTAATAAGATAAGCCAAACTGTCCAATTGAGTATTGACTCAGAAGACTGAAACCTGATAGACAAATAGAGCTTAAACTGTTGATCTTAGATGCGGGTGTGCGCCTGGTGAAGCGGAGGAGGAGGGGGAGGCAGTTCAGATTATAATGAAAGCCTCTCAACCGTGATTAAGGGGATGGAGAGATGTAACTGGCAGGACAGCGGTTGGTTCTACGGGATTTATTGGACAGTGGAGTTTATCTTATTAATAGACAA